ACCCTTAGACTTAATTAGAGAACATTGGGAAGGGGAAAGCAGTACAGATGGGATACCCATTGTACCGTATGTGCTGGAATTCAGGGACCGCTTGGAGGCACTAACCCAGACCGTAAGAGTAAACCTCCAAGCGGCCCAACAACGTCAGCGCTGATGGTATGATAGTGGAGCCGGGGACCGCAGCTTTCAGGTGGGACAGAAAGTTTTGATTTTAAAACCTGTCCACAATGACAAGCTGCAGGCCACCTGGCAGGGTCCATACAAAGTGGTGGAACACCAAAGTGGTGGAACACCACTGTTACACCACTTATGTGATTGGCCCATGCTCAGGGGTAGGGAAGAGACACATGCTCCACTGAATATGCTCAAACCTTACTATGAGAGGGTAGAGGACGTGGCAGCTTTATCCGCATCGGCCTCTGAGGATAAGGAGAATCTTCTGCTCCCCGATTTATTAGAGCGAAAAGATCAGGCAGAGAAATCCACGGAGTTCAGCTGGGGGAGCAGCTAAGTCCTCAGGAGCGTGCCCAGGTACAGGAGTTAATTGCGGCTAAGGGAGCCACCTTCTCCAATTTACCAGGGTACACTCTGCTGGCCACTCACCGGGTAGAGACCCCAGGACAGCTAACTATGCGCCAGACCCCATATCGTATCCCTGAAGTCAGGGAACATATGCGGAAAGAAAGATGTTGCAGCTAGGGGTTATCGAACATTCCGATAGCCCCTGGGCATCGCCGGTAGTGCTAGTACCCAAGAAGGATGGCACAACACGGTTCTGTGTTGACTACCGGAGGCTAAATGACAAAACAGTGTCTGATGCCTACCCGATGCCCCAGATAGACGAGATGCTAGATAAGATGGCACGAGGCCAGTACCTCACTACGATTGACTTGTGCAAAGGGTACTGGCAGATCCCTTTAGCCGAGGATGCCATTCCCAAGTCAGCGTTTGTCACCCCGTTTGGCCTGTACCAGTTTCGAGTCATGCCATTCGGGATGAAAAACGCTCCGGCTACTTTTCAAAGGATGGTAGATCGGCTACTGGATGGGTTCCAGGAGTATGCATGTGCATACCTGGACGATATTGCAATCTATAGCCAGACATGGACAGACCATCTGCGACATATTGGAGCTGTCATTGACCGTATTGGAGAGGCAGGGTTAACGCTAAAACCCAGCAAGTACCAAGTACCCAGCAAGCACAGGGTAGGGAGTGGGCAGCAAAAACCGGAACCAGCCAAAATAGAGGCTGTAGCTAAGTGGCCTACCCCCCGGACAAAAACCCAAGTGTTAGCCTTCCTGGGTACCGCAGGGTACTACCGGAAGTTTGTACCCAATTACAGTGCCCTGGCCAAACCCCTTACTGACTTGACCCGCAAAAATCTTCCTCGACAGGTCATCTGGGCCCCAGAGTGTGATCAGGCATTTCAACAACTCAAGACTGCTTTAACCAATGCACCTGTACTTGCTGCTCCTGATCCAACTAAACGATTTCTTATCCACACAGACGCTTCAATGTTTGGATTGGGAGCAGTGCTGAGCCAAGTTGGAGCAGATGGCGGAGAACATCCCGTAGCTTACTTAAGCAGAAAGTTATTACCACGAGAAGTAAACTACGCCGCCATTGAGAAAGAATGCCTGGCCATGGTGTGGGTATAGAATACACACCATAACAATCTCCAAAAACTTAGCTTTATTATGTGCAAAAAGTACCAAAGTGAAAACATACAAGAAAAATAAACACAATGACAGAAGCAAGGGCAAATACAATAAGGTAATGGTAAAATACCAAAAAGATTCTTACAAGCCACAAGACAGAAACACGAGTCACCAAACCCCCCAACGTTTCGGCACCAACTGGCTGCCTTTATCAAGGGTCGTTCCACTCTGCCTACTGTATTAGATGTTCAGAAGATTGTTAGCTCTGTGGGTTAGAAATCCCTTCCCTGCATGTCCTAGTTTTGCAGGTTAAACATCTTTCTCTTCTCTATATACTGAATATTGACTGAATTCTCTACATTTCGTTGTCAGCTTTGTTTGTAAGATCAGGAACTTTACCCAACTTCCTGTTTTTGTTTCTTTTTTTCTTCTTCTATTTTCTTCTGCCTTCTTTTAACTTCTGTTTTCAAAATGTCTCTCTCAGCTTGTTCATTATCAGTGTATAGATACTCAGTATCATTATACAGAGCGGTGTGTTCATTATCAGTGTATAGATACTCAGTATTATTATACAGAGCGGTGTGTTCATTATCAGTGTATAGATACTCAGTATTATTATACAGAGCGGTGTGTTCATTATCAGTGTATAGATACTCAGTATCATTATACAGAGCGGTGTGTTCATTATCAGCGTATAGATACTCAGTATCATTATACAGAGCGGTGTGTTCATTATCAGCGTATAGATACTCAGTATCATTATACAGAGCGGTGTGTTCATTATCAGTGTATAGATACTCAGTATTATTATACAGAGCGGTGTGTTCATTATCAGTGTATAGATACTCAGTATCATTATACAAAGCCGTGTGTTCAGTATCATTGTATAGATACTCAGTATCATTATATATATTATAAACTGGCCAAATTTGAAAAAGTCTCCATTTTGGCTGATTTGGGGTCAGTTTGCATTTTCCTGGTAAGCGGGTCCCTGGGTAAATAAACTTTCTGTTATGTGTTGTAAAATGATCTGTTTTCTCTTTGTTTGTTTATGAAACTATCTAGTGCCCCTTAACAAAATAATTGTACATAAAGTGTCCTCTCACATTCTTCAGCCTGGGGTAGGCTGACCAGACCCACATGCGCCCCACTCCTCCTTTGTCCGTGGCCTTCGAGGCTAAGGGATGTTGGAACAGGTTTGATACACAGCCCCCTGAGCTGTTTACATACCCGAATTCCATACAGCATTTCAAACATTCCCTCACAATGTGATCACTAAATAAAGGCCTACACTTTCACCCAAGCAAAGCGTCTTAACGCCACCCCTCTATAAGCAGCGGAGATACCAAGGATATTCACTAAGCAGATCTGATAATGGGTATATCACATTGTGTCAACTGGTGCCAAGTCTACAGGAGGGGCCCTCTAAACACATACAGCTCATTGATTGTTACAGTATAATCTCACACAGATTGTAACAGTATTATATCACACTGACTGTTTCATTATAATCTCACACTGACTGTTACAGTATTCTATCACAATAACTGTTACAGTATTATAATCTCACACTGACTGTTACATTATAATCTCACACTGACTGTTACAGTATTATATCACAATAACTGTTACAGTATTATAATCTCACACTGACTGTTACATTATAATCTCACACAGATTGTAACAGTATTATATCACACTGACTGTTACATTATAATCTCACACTGATTGTTACAGTATTATAATCTCACACTGACTGTTACAGTATCATCTCACACTGATTGTTACACTATTATCTCACACAGATTGTTACAGTATTATCTCACACTGATTGTGGCAAACCTAGCCACTTAAGACTGTATTTACATGTATGTGATATTGTGGCTTTAAGACTACCTGAACTGTCCATGTTCCCTATTCTATATTTTATGTGAACGAAAGCATTCGTATGCTGGCGGCACGAAAGCCACCAGCATTCATACAGTAGTTTCACGAACAGTGAATTTCAACACTGTTCGTGAAACAAACAAACTATTGAGTGGGAGACCACACACAGGAGGTCGTGTTGCTCCCATTATGGACCGCAACAAAGTATCTTTCAACAGTTAATAAATGTTCAGGGTGGCCGCCGTTCGGATACGACCACGCGGCGGTGGCCATCTTGGATCCTTTGTTAGCCCAGCGGTGTTTGGTCGTCGAGTGCCTGGAACTAAAATCAGCTATTCCACGGCACGAATACCACTGGACTTCCAGGCCGTTCGGGAGCACCGGTCTTTCGGTATTTTAACTCTGCATGTGTATTCGGGACTTTTGTGAAGAATTTGTGTTCAAGTGTATTTCGTGCGGCGTTCGGCTAATTGTGCTGGGATCTGAGCGGTACTTTCACAAAGTATGAACTCAGACCGCAGCTATCTGCCGAATGGTCATTCGGTACAATAGCACAAATAATATTAGAGTTATAGATTTTTATGTAAAAAGCCAGTTCTGCTGTACGGAGGGATAATCCACTTAACTGGATATTCTAGTGGGAGTATCCCTCTCTTACAGCAGTGCATGGTGGGAGAAATTTTCTGATTGTTAAGTTCCCCTTGTAGTCCCCTACTGTACAACCCCTGTAAAGTCAGCAAGGAAACCCCTTGCATTGGGAACCACATAAATACTGGAGCTTGTGAATAAAACCTCAGTTGACTCCCAGCCTATGTGTCATCTAGTTCTTGGGAAGGAAGGATCTGTATAAAGCTACTGGGATTATTGTATGCTGTACCTGTTTTACCTGGATTATTATATGCTGCTCCTGTCTACCAGCAGAGATACTGTGGATTATACTACCTCTCTGCTACACTGATTGTAACAGTATTATATCACACAGACTGTTACACTATAATCTCACACTGACTGTTACAGTATTATCTCACACTGACTGTTACAGTATAATCTCACACTGATTGTTACAGTATTATAATCTAATACTGATTGTTACAGTATAATCTCACACTGACTGTTACAGTATTATCTCACACTGACTGTTACAGCATTATAATCTCATACTGACTGTTACAGTATAATCTCACACTGATTGCTACTGTATTATAATCTCACACTGATTCTTACAGTATAATCTCAAACTGATTGCTACTGTATTATAATCTCACACCAACTGTTACAGTATTTATAATCTAATACTGATTGTTACAGTATAATCTCACACTGATTGTAACAGTATTATAATCTAATACTGATTGTTACAGTATTATAATCTCACACTGACTGTTACATTATAATCTCACACTGACTGTTACAGTATTATATCACACTGATTGTTACAGTATTATAATCTCACACTGACTGTTACATTATAATCTCACACTGACTGTTACAGTATTATATCACACTGATTGTTACAGTATAATCTCACACTGACTGTTACATTATAATCTCACACTGACTGTTACAGTATTATATCACACTGATTGTTACAGTATAATCTCACACTGATTGCTACAGTATTATATCACACTGATTGTTACAGTATAATCTCACACTGACTGTTACAGTATAATCTCACACTGATTGTTACAGTATCATCTCACACTGACTGTTACAGTATAATCTCACACTGATTGTTACAGTATCATCTCACACTGACTGTTACAGTATAATCTCACACTGATTGTTACAGTATAATCTCACACTGATTGTTACAGTATCATCTCACACTGACTGTTACAGTATCATCTCACACTGACTGTTACATTATAATCTCACACTGATTGTTACAGTATCATCTCACACTGACTGTTACATTATAATCTCACACTGATTGTTACAGTATCATCTCACACTGACTGTTACATTATAATCTCACACTGATTGTTACAGTATCATCTCACACTGATTGTTACAGTATAATCTCACACTGATTGTTACAGTATCATCTCACACTGACTGTTACAGTATCATCTCACACTGACTGTTACAGTATTATAATCTAATACTGATTGTTACAGTATAATCTCACACTGACTGTTACAGTATTATTATACTCACTGGCTGTTACAGCATTGCCAATCTCATACTGACTGTTACAGTATAATCTCCGCAATTGCTACACAGCAAAACGCCAATCTCACACTGATTCTTACAGTATAATCTCCAAAGGCTGAGTGCTACTGCCATTACAATCTCACACCAACTGTTACAGTATTTGCAATCCTAATACTGATTATTTACGAAATTGCATAATCTCACACTGGTGGCTGGTATTATAATCTAATACTGGTGTTACAGTATTATAATCTCACACTGACTGTTACATTATAATCTCACACTGACTGTTACAGTATTATATCACACTGATTGTTACAGTATAATCTCACACTGACTGTTACATTATAATCTCACACTGACTGTTACAGTATTATATCACACTGATTGTTACAGTATAATCTCACACTGATTGTTACAGTATTATATCACACTGATTGTTACAGTATAATCTCACACTGACTGTTACAGTATAATCTCACACTGATTGTTACAGTATCATCTCACACTGATTGTTACAGTATAATCTCACACTGACTGTTACAGTATAATCTCACACTGATTGTTACAGTATCATCTCACACTGACTGTTACAGTATAATCTCACACTGATTGTTACAGTATCATCTCACACTGACTGTTACAGTATAATCTCACACTGATTGTTACAGTATAATCTCACACTGATTGTTACAGTATCATCTCACACTGACTGTTACAGTATCATCTCACACTGACTGTTACATTATAATCTCACACTGATTGTTACAGTATCATCTCACACTGACTGTTACATTATAATCTCACACTGATTGTTACAGTATCATCTCACATTGATTGTTACAGTATAATCTCACACTGATTGTTACAGTATCATCTCACACTGACTGTTACAGTATCATCTCACACTGACTGTTACATTATAATCTCACACTGATTGTTACAGTATCATCTCACACTGATTGTTACAGTATAATCTCACACTGATTGTTACAGTATAATCTCACATTGATTGTTACAGTATAATCTCACACTGACTGTTACAGTATTATATCACACAGACTGTTACAGTATTATTATCTCACACTGATTGTTACAGTATAATCTCACACTGACTCTTCAAACTAAAATTGATAAAATTTAGCGTTTTAATGTGTGTCCCTATCTGTCACTGATTGATACAGTGTTACACGAGATCAGGGGTTCTAACACACTGAATGTACATATAATTCCAGCTTTTTCATGCATTGAATTGGGCATCACATTGGGATTTAATATCTTTATTATTCCAAATCTATATTAACATATTGTGGACAATGCATTTCACCAGTCATGGCCAAAAATGTTCAGTTCTGTTAAAAGTTCTGTGCACAGAACTAAAGTTCTGTGCACAGACTCTAATTTACAGGTTAAATCAAGTCGTGATTTCAAAACTTAACAACACATAGTATAAGATAGTGTGTCAATCAGGACAATGTGTCAGATATAAATGTATTATTGTGGATTATATGACTTACATTTTATACACTTAGAGCCGAGACACATA